GCTTTCAATCTATTTGGGCGACCGCCTCCGTCCTGGGGCAGCTTTACCAAATTCGCTGAGAATTAGTATACAAAAAAGTAAATATAATGAAAATCAAAAAGAGATAAACCAAAGACACTCACTACTTTCAGCCGTATTGAAAAGCTCCGTGATCTCGAATGGATCCGTCTGGCTATCATTCACAGTTACAAACAGCTTATAAGGTGTCGCAGCTCGGAGATTGGTGATGGTCACTGGTGAAATGGCGTTCATTTGTGAGAAGACCTCTTGCCCATTCAGTCCCGTCCTACGTACCAGCCTAGAGCATGAGGATTACCAAGAAAAGATTCAAAAAAAGGAATCTGATACAAACCTGAGTCCTATCTTCAGCTGTGGTCCCTGCTGTACATCCCAGCTAACGTTAGCGGAGTTATCATTTGTTACGATCGTTAGGTTTTGAATAGTTCTTGGAGCTGCAACAGATTACAAGTAATGCTCGCGCAGAAACAAAATGGGTGGTGAAAAAACCTATGGAAAAAGCCACAACAAGCAGAAATCCAGATCAACCCCAAACGATGTTTTCTTCTACCGGAATTATCAACCCAAAACCCAGATGACAGCAAAATTGTTGGGCAAACTTTCAAGCATGCAAAAAACCCTCCACTGGCGCCACTTCACATCAACCAAACCACTCGTGAAAGCAAAAAAAAAGAAACACATAATAAAAAATCTCTCATGCAAGGAGAAAACAAATCGCACACGCTACGAACGCGAACACAGCCCGAGTTCAAACTTACCATGTGATGGTCTCATGACTTTTTTGGATCTTTTAGAGAAAGGATGATGACGCCTTTCTCGCTCTAAGACAAGGATAATGGAGATCGATTTACCCGTAAACAACGAAGTTGAAAAAAGAAAAAAAAAGATGAGAAGGAAACTGTAGCGATGAGAAAAATCCAAAAAAGAGAAAAACCGCCAGAACATTAAAAAAACAAAGGGGAAATGAGTTTGTTCACAAAAAAATCACCTTTGACTTGGAACTCTATAGTATAATTGACAGATGGCTGCTGATTTGCGTTGACGTGGCACATGTACGAGCCGCTATCAGATAGCTGCACATTGCGGATTTCAAGCTCCCAACAGTACGGAGTGTTCATCTTCTCAAACTCAGTCATCTGGAAGAATTGAATTGCGACATATATGGTAATATAACTCATTAACACATTCACGACAATACGAGCCACCGGTGGTCGT